ATAAAAAATAAAAAAAATTAGTATTAATTGTAACATCTATGATATATAAATATTTTTATTAGATAATTGATAAATTTAATATTAATTTTTTTATTTTATTATGAATATGAATGATAAAAAGGTGTAATAAATAGAGTAGAAAATCTCTTAAATTAATTAGTAATTACGATGACTTCGGTGATTAAAGCTGAAAGTGACCTAGATAATGTTAAGGCTGAAGTGAAAAACATAAATCTAACACATGTTGGAATTATAGAGATATGAACAATTAGAAAAAGTATGGTGTATGGACGACTATAGAGAAGTATGGGACTCATATTCCTTTTCCTCTTAATCTGCTCTTTTATTATTATTTTATTTTTTACCTCCAATTATAAGTTATATATATAAAAAAATCAAAAAAATACAAAAAATAATCTTCTCATATTTTCAAAATCTTTTTTTACCTGAATTAATATTCAAATATAAGATTTTTAAGTTAAAATCTTAAATTTTTAACTCATTAAAACATCCACTAAAAGCAACAACCAGTCAAAATCTACCATATTTGAACATTAAGTTAAAATCTTAAATTTTTAACCCATTAAAACATCCACTAAAGGCAACAACCAGTCAAAGTCTACCATATTTAAGCATTAAGTCATTAACAATTACTACAGGTTCCGTGACCCTTTCAAGGAAATTATATAAGAGAACGTTAGGTGATCACTATTTTTCAAATCATTATTAATTAAGGTTCCACCCAATCCAAGCTAATTCCGTGATTTATAGGAATGGTTACAAACATTTTCAACCAATCAGTGTTCTAAATGATCTCTTAATAGATATATACAGTGTATGTTACTGAAAACCAATTGGGTCCTTATGGAATATTGGACATGGATTAAAATTCGTCAGGCTTAACTTCATCAATCCAATTCTTTTTTAGCTCAAATTCTTAATTAGTTGGGGCTTTCACTTCTTAATTAATTTCAAGCTCAATTAATAAAGAACTAATGGATTAGAGCTTAGAATCGTTCAAATGCAAATATGTAATCTTAAGTTGGGCTCAAAAGTCTAAAAGAGAAAATCTGGGCTCCCCATGATTTATAGAGAAATGTATTTTTATTTCCAATCCACCTTGCACAATTAAAAATATCAATCAATCACTGTGTGGATAGAGAAAATAAAAATACAGTTAATGAATTGGAGATGCATATATATTAGCGCTCTACTCAAGAGTGACAGACAGGCATAGATCCTTAAAAGTGGTTTTTTTTTTTTTGGGTAAGTTCGTTAAAAGTGTTCTTTGCACTAAAATAAATATAGAGAACTTCAAATCTTTCCTGTATTCAATATGGTTTATATTACTTCTTAGTTCTCACCATTTCGAATTCATTCAACAGAAATCAGATCCTCATTTCGTTCTTTCACTCTCAAAACACTAAATTAAAGGGTATAGAGAACCAGTATGCATATGATGGCTGGATCCAGGATTTGCAAGGGAAATATATACATATTTCTAGTTCGGATCGCAAAATTATTCGATGAAAAAATATTCTCAATATTAAAAAATTTATTTTTATGTAATTTTTTATTATATAATTTAATACAATTTAAATTATATAATATTTTTTTAATTATCACTACAAATACTTAAGAACGAATTTGTAATATAATAATTACTAATTTTTTATAAAAGACTTTCTCGTATTAGTTTTGATACATGAGATTCGAATCTCAATTTTAACTTAAAAAAAAAAAAATGGTACTGATACCCATTTTTGATGTCTTTTATGATAAATTTGGATTCAATACGAGTGTGAATTAGACAAAGCAGTAGGCAGGGTCTGAAAAGGAAAGCCTGGCTGCAACGCAATTCCATGCTTTGAAATAATAACCCAATCCCATTCATCAAAACCGTGACAGACAGAACCATGTAACCAAACCATGACAGAAAAATAATGGCAATTCCCGATTGTTTAGGCTGAAAGTGAAGCTAACCACAATTTTTAAAAAAAAAAACGGAACACCATTTTTCTTTTCCTAAACATAGAGAATTATAAGAAAATGAAAAAGATTTTAAATAACTTATGAAAATTGAACTTTCAACCAACTTTATTTAAGTAATTCACTAAATTTAAGTATTAGAATTTAAAAGTAAATTATTGGACTCAAAGATCTATCTTAAAGTGGAAAACTTTATTCTCACGCATATTTCTCATTTTACGTGTCACTCATATGAGAACTCCACGTGTATGGCCAAATAGATCCATTTCCATTAATCCAAACGGCTTAAGTACATTTTTTTTCCATCCCCCAACTCTCAATTTAGTATATCAAAATGGTCCATCGCATTAAAAATGAAGTTTGAGTTATTGCCTAAGAAGATGAAGAAATCTGAGAGGAAAGTAAAGGCCCCAGGGGTGGAACCAGGGTGCATTAGTAGGTAGGGCCCGTTCTAATATTTCATCTAAGTTACGATAGTACACCTCACACAACATCACCAAAAGAATAGTACCTTCAACCTATTCATATTGCCTTCTTACTCAAGTGCTTTGACTAATTATATTGCAAATGTAAAAGAATTGAAAAAACCTCATTGGTGCCAATATAGAAATCTTTAATCACCAAACTATGGTTTAGGGAATCAAAATGAGGTTTCCAACTTTGCAAACTTCGGATAAAAAGAGGGATAAATTAATGTAAATTTTTCCTTGATTTTGAAACCAAAGAGAAGATTGAGAAATTAACTAGTTTTCAAAATTTGAAGAGTTAATAAATGTTTAGAAGCAAAATTTTGTAAATGGGTGTTGTTGCCTGTGAAATATATCTCTCTTTATATTAGGATTTTTAGGATTAATTACCCATGTCTTGCTCAGTTCTTCTCAGTTCTTTTTTTTTTTTTTAGTTAACGTATGTGAATATCCAAAAAGAATTGTGTGTTGTTAGAAAGAAAACATGGTGAGATTTTTTTTTTTTCGGTTTTTAGACAGTTGTAGCAATATAATAATTTAAACAAAATAAACTACTTCTACATTTGCCTTAAAAAATTTTATTGATTTTGTTTTTAATGTTTTAATTGTTCCCAATAAAAAAATGAGGAGATGTCTTTATTGTGAGCCTTAAGTGGGGTCAAGATTGAGGCACACCCTTTTACTAATAGAGTAACCTTTCTTCCTGGACTTGGGCCCTACCGATTACATGCCCTAGTGGTTCTGTTTTTGAAAGGTATTTTTTTGTTTTAATGTTTCCAAATAATTTAGAGTTAATAGTGAATTTACTATAATTAATATTTGTTATTATTTATAATTCAAATACCATATCAATATCTATGTGTAAGTATAGGTTCGAGGTCATGGACCTTGGATGCCCAAAGTTAGATCACTTAGGTCAACCATTGCCTCGGGCTAGATATGGCCGAGGTTAAACAATTTGATGATTGAAGTCAAAGTCATCCTTTCTTCCAGTTGCACAATAAGTACAATGAGACTGTACTTAACTGTTCTTTTTTTCCAAAATGTTTGCTCTTTTAGCCACATCAAAACCCTTGACTATTTCGTCAAGAAGACAACATGGATACCTTCTCAAAGGGTATAAATACCCCTCAAAAGTCACCTACTACAAGTACAAAAAAACAGACTTAAAACTTGCCTTACTTTTTTTAGAGAAGACTAGAGTATTATTGATTTAATCACTGGTTTAAGGCCTGGCCCGGCCTGGTCAGTTGAATCGGTTCAACTGAACCCTGGTTTGAAAACGGACCGAATACTACTTGCAGCCCGTTTTAGCAATTGGCCCGTTCAAACCCGTCAGGCCCACTCCACCCAATTGGCCCATTTCACCCATTCAACTTGCCAGACTGCATCTTATTTCTTCAATTAACCCCTTTTTTTTTTCATTTTCAAGTAATATATCCATTTTATCTCATCTATTTAATATTATTACATAAAAACCCTTTAAACTTCAATTAAGATGAGATTAAAAAAATCCTAATAGAAGGCCAAAAAAAAAAAAAAAACTCGACACAAAAAATAAAAAGAAGAACTAAAGAAGAAAGCTCAAGAGTAGAATAGATCCTCGCCTCCTTCCTCCACTGTCCTCCCTACTCTCAACCACCATCGTCGGCAGCCCTTTGGACAACCTTCACGGGCTCATATTCCTTAGCTTCCTCCATTGAATAGTAGCAACACTGGTTCACCGAACGGAGCAGCAGCGACAGTGCAGATCTACATCTATTGTCAACCACCACCGCCGGCAGCCCCTTCCATCCCTTTCGCGGCTCATCTTCCTTACCTTCTTCCACCGAACAACAACAGCACTCCTTCACCGATCAGAGCAGCAATAGGAATAGAGCAACAACGGCAGAACAGATTTACATCTGCTTTAAACCAGCACTGTCAGCAGCCAGTAGCTTCTCCTTCACTGAACAGAGCAACAGCACCAAACAAAGCAACAACATCGAACAGAGCCACGTCATCGACCTTCCTCTCCTTCCCAGTGGGCAGAAACAGCCTCTCTTTCAGCCATCGAACAGAGCAGCCATCGAATAGAGCAACAGCACCTTCCTTTCCTTCATGCACTTAACTGAGCAGTAGCAGCAGCAAAATAGATCCTCTTCTTCGCAGCATAACAAAGTAGCACTTGCTTCTTAGTGGGTAAGAATTTATATGATTGTTAATTGTTTATAGGAATTAATTTTTTATTAATCAATATATATAAGATTTGGAAATATATTTATATATATATAGGTAATGCATTGATGTTGTGATGTTTAAATCAATATATGTGATTGATGTGATGCTTGTTTGAGACTTTATTGTTGATTTGGTTTGAAATTTTGTTTTATATTATTTTGTAGTGAATTTGTGGATTTGATTTAAGATTTTTTTTTTATATTTAAGATTTATTTTGTAGTGAATTTAGTTTAAGATTGAGTTGTTTTTTATTATCATACTTGAAGAATTTATCTTATATTATGATTTTAATATTTATTAGTCTAGATCTTAAAAATTTATATGTATTTAAAATTTATTATTTTAAATGACCTAAATGATGATTTTCAAGTTGATCTTATGATAACTATATCTTAAGAATAAAATGAAAGTAATGTACAATGGTAAAATTTAATAAATATGTAAAAAAAAAGTTTTTTTTAATTGACTGGTTGGACCAATTGGGTGAATCGATTCAACCGATTCAACCGGATCGGATGGCCAAACTGGGTCAACCACTGGGCTAGGCCCAAAAACACTGGATTTAATCATCAAAGTATCTACCCCTAGATTGGATCTCGGGGCTTTACAAGTCAATTTACTTGAAAGACCAAAGTTGAAGAGGATTTGAAGATTTTCTACTATTACTCTATGCTATTTGAAATGGTTAAACTAAACAGATTTTAATAAAAGACAGAACCTTCAAATCTATCCTCAAAAAATATCAGTAAGGAAACATCCACCCCTAAAAAAAAGTAAGGACAAATTGTCTCTCCAAATTATAAATCAATACAAATCACCCTTTTTTCAACGTTTTCCGTTAAAAAATACTGACGTAGCAAATAGAATTTTGACGTTTTTTGTTGACAAATGGGTGATTTGTATTGATTTATGATTTGGAGGGACAATTTGTCCCTGCTTTTTTTTGAAGGGTAAATGTGTCTCTACCGATATTTTTTGAGGGTGGATTTGAGGATTTTGCCTTAATAAAATGCATATGAAAAAGTTTTTGTTGAGGGGGGGGACCATTTTGGAAAGAGTTTCTCAGTTTGGGACCAAAAAGATATTAAAGAGAGTTGACAGACCATTTGATACAAAAGTATAAAGTTGACTGACCAAAAAGGAATTTAAACAAATTCAAAAGGCTTTTCTTTTTTCTTTTTTTTCTTTTTTTTTTTTGAGGAAAAGGAAACCAAAAGGCATATAAATTAACATGTCCATATGTTGAAGGTGCCATACCGTACTGGGAAGCAGATCTTTCAAAGTTTTTAAATAGATCTCTTACTGCACTGTTTCTCTTCTGCTTTCTTTTTGTGTTTTTTGGGGGGGGCTAATTTCCACTGACCGGCCATGGCGGGTATCCGAGGAATACTGCTTATGTTGTCTATCTTTGTCATGGTTGCCGCCGGCGTCCTTTCTTACGATCGTCCTCCGCCTCGCAAGGACTTTTTCATTCCTCGTCTGAAGTATCTCTCCTCCACTTCTCCAGAACAGGTATGATCAACTTCCATCCTCAATTGCTGCTTTTCCCTTTCAGTTGTGTTTCATTTTTTTCTTTTTTTGTGGCAGTTTAAATTTTTGAGTATGTTAATTGAGTTTTAATTGATTAAGCCAATTGCAAGTACTCTTGAAACATAGAAAGCAGAAACTTGAGGGGAATGTAAAAAACCAGATGATTCATTAATTAAAGAGTTCACATTTATTATTGGCTATAGAGTCAAACTGTGTGGCTGCTTTTGCATCTAACTAGTTCACGTTAGTATCAATGTTAGATTACCAAAATTTTCCAACTTCCTGTCTACAAGTGTAACCAACTAATCTAGTGGTTCAAGAAGTTAATGGTTAATTAGCCAACATAATTACTATTCTAAATTTTTAAAAGAAAATATTACAGTTACAACATGTATTATAAATTTATAATATTATATGATTATATAATTAATTTTTTTATTTATAAATTTATTTTTTATATTATATA